CCTCTATGCTACGTCATGGACTGGCCACCTCGCGGTTTCACCCAACTCGGTGTAGCCACGGCGTATAATGCAGGCCGAGGAATCCCATCAGCGGGTATACGGAGGATATGGCCTAGCCAACGCAAGCGATTAAGGTTCACCAAACGAGTGAGGAATCAGAAGGCTTCTTGCCAAAATCCAACTTGCCGACCTTTGTATTGCTCACCCGGTGTTCCCACCAGACCTGAGCAATACTCCGCAAGCAGCGATGGTCAAACACGGTCAAGCGTTTAATGTCTTCGTCGCGAACTGGTCAGGTCTCTGATTCATACAGTAAGATCGACTTTACTGCAGCGTTATACACCCTATCACTGACAGGCTGACATCTCACCGTCTGCATAGATGCTTGCGTCTCTAGAAAGCCACGCGGACCTTTTGGAGTGACCAACTATGTCAGATAAGCATCAAATGGCTGCGTCGGACTAGTGCGTACTTATTCCCAGACCTAGGCTTTACGATTGTGCTCACTATTATTTGTATGTCCTACCAGAAATTGTGCCGTCATGACAACATTTGCGCCGTTATTTTTTCTCACTTGCTTTTGGCATTTGCCTCCCCGTCTGGCAATTTTCGTATTTTCATCCACTCTTCTTTCCTAACCATTGTTGCATTCCCCGAGTGTGTTGGCACAAACCAAGGCACTACAGTCTGCTTCATTTTTGTGTTTTTATCATGATCCCTTAGCTCAACTAAATTTGGAATTAACTGACGGACACCACTGTTCCCGCATGATCAGCTAGTGCGGACATTCTTCTAAAGGGAATCATTCATTCATTACACAAATTAGCAAGAGCTGGAAAATACCTGAGTTATTGTACTGCAATACACAAAAAAGGAATGAAGCTACAACAGGAGTACGCCAGTTGAATCACTGGCAACGGATGGATATGGTTCCAGAGAGCTGGAAGCCAGCTATTGTACCGCATAGGTCAGAAATGAGATCGTGGTTGGAAGGTGGAGGCTAAGCTGGAGAGGGAGGGACAACACCAACGCTATTAAGGCCGGCTGCTAGTCATATTAATAAGTGTATCCAGCCGTACGTGCTCATCGTCTTTCTGGCCCTAACCGGGGAGCCTAGAGGCTCTACTCGAGGCCAAGTTTGAAGTGAGGGCTGTCATTCATCTTGACCAAGTCATTGTTTGGCATCCCCTCTTCTTCTCTCCACCCCCAGGTCGCACCAACTACACACGTTGCGGGAGTCGGTGTGCTAGCATGAGCAACACGTGACCCAGTCATCGGAGCCTGCTTCATGAAATAGCGGTGCCGAGCGATTCACTCGTTCTTCCTGCACCAGATATGCGCCGCCGAATACGCTCATTGCTCACGCGGCGTTCCCACCAGGTATGGTGCAAACTGTGGAGGCACCGGTGGTCGAACATAACTTACCTCTTTACGTCTGTCGGCCTAGTGGGCCAGGTTTCATAACCGTACATTAGGGTCGAACGTGCGGCCGTCTTGTACTCTGCCTTTCAGGGCGAGAGTGATGTCCCGCCGGCGCCATAAGTGTCAAACGTTAGCAAAAGCGCCTCGAACTTTTGCTTGGTTCTTAACTTGGCCATTGATTCCACCGGCGCTGATACAACTACCTAGGTAGTCGAATTTCCGAACAGCTTCTAGCTGATATCCACCAAGGGTCAGCGCAGTAGGTGGTCTTTGCCGATCTTAGAGGAATGTTTTGCATTTTAAGGGCACAATGCAAAGTTCGAAACCATCGACAGCACGTTTGTGAGCTGTCACAGATGAGGGCAATGTCGTCAGCATACTTCAAGTCAATGACTCGTTCACCTGGAAGCAGTTTCACACCGATGTCGTGTCTTGTGAATGCAATCTCCATGACTTCGTCAGTAGCGAAGTTGAACAAGAAAGTGACACCCTTGTCTCACCCCGCTGCAGGTATTGGACGGCCGAGACGGCTTGCCGTAATCCCTCACTGCCCGAGCTACACTCGTAAAGCGCTCGGATAGTATTTACATATTAATCGGGCACACTTTTCCATAGCATACAGTTTCAAAGAACGCATCGAATCACTGAATCGAAGACACCTTTGATGCCGAGGGACCCGACAACGCTGGTCCGCCAATATACAGGACTGCTCCAACAATCGACATAAAGTGAATATGTGCTCGATGCAGCCCCGTCCTCGGCGAAACCCGACTTGCTCCTCACGAATATGGCTTTCCCGAGTGCCGCTAAATCTGGCGATAACAGAAGCGACAACTTGATAGCGCTGGAGACTAATTCCGCACTCCGAACGGTTTGGGATTATAACGGAGCGTCCCCAGTCGGTTGGAACAGTTTTTTTCTCTCACAGGTCATCTGATCCCGCGGCCTTATTCAATTTCGGCAGTGCGATTTCACGTTCGACTTCTGAGCGAGAGGGCGGATCCAAAGGAACAGTTCAGGGAGCAGAGCGATCACTGGCCGGAGAGAAATCTGACAATTCCGATCGATTAAATTGCTTTTGAAAGTGCTCAGCACAACATTCCAAACGTTTTGACAACTTGTGTAGAAGCCGTACACTCTCGTCACGTATAGTTTCACTAACATCACGTCTCCTGCTGTCCGTTTCCCGTATCAGCTGGAATAAGTTACTATGGTTACCAAGGCCAGCGACCACATCGATCGATGAGATTAATAGGATTCGCGGTCTCTCTTCAGGTTAACACGCAGTTTTGCCTTCATCTCTTTGTGAGTCTCGTCGTGTTCGCTTCCAGCAGGAATGTGCCGGTGCGCATCAGTAAGTTCCCAATGTCCAGGTTGGCTGTTAAACTTACCACAGCATTCGCCTGTTGTTAAGGCGAACATGTGACCTGCAACTGAATTCAGTGAGCGCTTACTCAACCAGCATGCCAGCGTACTTCGATACGCATTCATAACATCTAGTTTTGTCAATTGGCGGGTTTCTATGCACTCACAGCGTCGTCGCTGGCGTTCGTCAAAACACTGATCAGCACTTATAAATGTATTATCAGTGTCCACACATGTGCTCCAACTCGAGCGACAGTTTTGAACGCAGCCTCTCTGGCGGTAAGTGATCGTGATGTGATCGATTTGCGTCCATTGCTGGTGCGCTCTGTGTCACTCCGGCGAGTGCTGTCGGAAGTTAGTGCTTCCGAGAAATAGACATCTTCACACAGGCGTAGCATTCGCTCACTGTTATCATTACGTGAGCCTGTGCCGTATTGGTCGCCCAGATACAGCTCATCAGAGGACAATTTTCCAGGTATTTCTACTGTATCTGTGCTTCCTCTGAGACGAAGGAGCTTGTTCACTTGTTGGTGGTTGCTGTCTTTCACTGAGTTATCGCTACACTTTGTGCACGGGTAGGCAGTGATGACAAACAGACCTATTAACACCGCACCACTTCATATCTTTGAACGAGCCAGTCTGTCAGTCGGCATATATCCGGCTGCTGTTTGGGACTCAGTCAACCAAAGCAGCTTCATCCCGGAAACTCAGGGCAATATCAACACCGGCTTGGCTGGCACTCGAAGCTGCATCATCTCCGGATAAACACAGTGAGAAAGCACTGCTAGTGTCACCCGTAAGGGATCGTAAAGTGAGCACCTGGCTAGAGTCTCGCACGCAAGTTTCCGATAACTAGCTGATTTCGATCGAGAGGGTCTCTATTGTTTGGATAATGCTGCCTGTTGACCGATCTGTAACAATGTGCGTTCGTTGCATGCCAGTCTGATAGAACATCGAGGACTCCAACTAGAAGCGAATGAGCTGGGCTTGTCCGTTTGGTTGCACATGGATTTGTCGACAGGGCAAAAGTGATGCTCCACCTTTGCGTGTGAGTTTAAACTAGAATACGCTTATTGAGGCAAGATAGGGGATGACCAAGAATTGAAAGGGGGGGTTGAAAACGAGGAGGTGAAAGGTAATGGGGTGATAAGGCTGAACAAGCGTGAGAGGGGGAATAAGAAGACAGGAAGGTGTGAGGAGTACCATTCAAACCTCTATCCATTCCGCTCGATACAGCAGATAGGGCGCTGTTGGTTATCCACTGCGATTGCCAGTGCATCAAGAAGTTGTTTGTAGGCAGTCATTATATTATATTGCGTGGGTAGCCTACTGTCAGATTGTTCAGACCTAGACAGGAGAGTGGTTAGTGTTATCAACTAAAGCCTTTGATGCATAAATATGACCGCACGGCAGTGGGTTTGGCAATGGGCTACAAAGAGTCCCTTTTAACGAATAAGGAGTCTCCTGCACTCCAACCCCCTACTTGACGGGCAAGGAAACTGAGTGTGTCTGACCTTTAACCATTGACCAATCTGGTGTAAGTGACTATAAAAATGCAAAAACCGCCACCCAACACAACTCAATGGTTCGCTGAGGTACACAATCCATTGCACCACGGCAAGGTCCAGCCTCATTGCGATGACTTCTGAGGGGCATACCAGTGTTCATGATGTCTGAGCTCCTTTCTGGGCCTATTTCAGTATTCTTGGTAGATGTTACTTTCCCCCACCGGAAATTTTCCTTTCGTTACCCCGATCCAAGTGATTCGTTCTGTTGCAATCTCCCCAGCATCCATATTACTCGCCGTTTCTTGGACTCACCAGTCTCCGTAACCAATGCACTCAGCTTAGATGAGCGGTTTTTTCATTCCCATTAATTTACCTCATCATCAACACCAGTACATTATCCATCTCAATTGATGCTTCGTAGCTGTAAAACCACGGTGACCTATGAAATGGAGGACAATAAGCGAGAGAAAATGAGGTCCTAGCATCGTCGGAACACCTGTAATTCAAAGGCAAACCCGATGAGACCTTTTGAAATTAGTCTCTTTATGATGCCGTTTCCATTTTGCTAGACTTCCATCGAAACGTGGAGGGTAGTCCCACGTCCGTTCACAGGAGATTCTCCATCCCGTATGAACCTTAAGCGTATAACTGTTCTTATCTTGTTTGTCTTGGCCATCGCTCCTACCTCTTTCATCTTCATTTTAGGGAACCATGCCGCTTGCAGATTTACTTCCAAAAGGGGACCCACGTGTGAACAATTGGCCTCTCATGGATAACCCGTTGTCCACTTTCCTTATCGTGTTGGCTTATCTGGTGATTGTTGTTTGGTGGGGTCAAAAATGGATGGCTCGTCGTTCTACTGGTTTCGAGTTGAAACGCCTTATGTTGATTTACAATTTTTGCATGGTCATTTTTTCCGGTTGGCTTTGGTATGAGTTTTGCGCCTCCGGCTGGTTTGGAGGTGGCTACACATTGGGCTGTCAACCTGTCGATCGGTCGAGACGACCAAAAGCCTATCGTATGGCCTCTGTTTGTTGGTTTTTCTTCATAAGCAAGTTGATTGAGTTGGTAGACACTGTGTTCTTCATCGCCCGCCGCAAGTTCGATCAAGTCAGCTTTCTGCATGTTTTTCATCACTCCGTTATGCCTCTTTCTTGGTGGTTTGGCGTCAAGTATGTCCCAGGTAAGTCTATTTCGGCACCTGCGCGTGTACCTGTCTATCGGTCATTCACCCGGAACACACAACTTTTCATCTATTTCGCATTCGTACACAAATCAATAATCTCGACGGATTACCTTGTCGCGTTGTTGATGTATGGCCACATTGATTTAGCTTCGGCCGATAAGCTTGGAAGTGGATTAACTGGCGCCGATGTACTGTCTATGCTCTGATTCGCGCGAAACGTGATGCCGCCCATACCCCTATGCTTGAGTATGAACTTTCTACTGCTTGACCTGCGCATATACTTGGTGTGTGTGGAGAATGTCGTATCATTTGGGCTGAGGTTAGTCCATACGCAAGCACTTGCAAGCAACTTTTTGCATTTCTGTCTGTGCTTCGCGGTTTCCTACTGCAAGCTGCCGTTGCTGTAGGACTGGAATGTCTCATTACCAGTTCTCACGATTAGCGAGGGGCCGATTAACTTTACTGATTGTCTTGCTTTCTGACTATCTATATAATTCCTGGCTGTTAAACTGACGACTACCTTGCTACGCTAGTAAGCAAATTAAGTGCCCTTTATCGAATATTTACTTTCTGTGAAAATGTTAAGCCATCCGTTTACTGGTCATCTTTACAACGCTACCGGTGGTAGATAGTAGATCTTCAACATTGCCACCGCACGCTAGCGAAGTCTAACGGCTGTCCTTGACCACCCAGTTTAGTTTGGTTCTGCTGCCCACACTAAGTGGGGCACGTTTTTCGTAAAATGTTTGACTGTATACCTCAACACACCTTGCTTGCGGAAGTAAGTCTCATGGAAATCCGTGTATGAAGTGGTTAGAAATGGTATCTTACGCGCTTCATCGTGTCGATTGAGGGTCACGTGATCGGCCGCATCCTAGCAGGTGACTCCCCAGTGCATCTTCCCTTTGGTCCAAACCTTACCCCCCATGAAAACACCGTCGAACAGTTTGAAGAGCTAGTGTCCACATGTCCTTTGTATCTTTTAATTGCTGTCATTGCATGGTTGAATCTACTCGCCACGGATCCGCGCAATCACCTAACAACTCGCGGGACAGCCCAAGTACCAAGATAACTGCATTGCTTGCGTTGGTCCGCATTGGAATTGTCGCCATGTTATCAACCGCTTACGAAAATATCGAGTTACCGACATTTCACCCAACACAGATTGTCTACCGCCACACTGCGTTGATTGCTATCGCAAGATCCACGGTGGTTCTATTCTCGTTGAACAAATTGATCGCGAGCATATCTTACGCCCGCTGTACTCGTCACAGCGGTCATTCGGAACTTTGCCAATTGGTGTTTGGTATCCGTTCCCTAGCAACCAACTACGCTGGTCATATTACTTCCTTCTGTCGTAAGTCGGCTGTCTACCTTTAGCCGCTAGCTCGCCAAGTTGCACCAATTTGGGATAGAGTTGGGTGAACGTACCCGCCCATGTCGTCTTCCTGGTTGGGGCTTGCGAGCTTTCACCGCATAACACACCATGGGCAAGAAACTACCGGCACTTATTGACTGTTCTCTCATTTTCACTCGCTAGTGATACAGTCATCTCATTGAAACTCAGTCCGTTTGACTTTTGTCCATGGTTTTACTTTCAGGTGGAATCAGCACATTTCATGCGATGCTAAATAGCTTTATTCATTTGTTGATGTACAGCTATTATGGTCTGGCTGCTGCCGGACCCCGCTTCCGACGTTACATTTGGTGGAAAAAGTGAGTCCTCGACCCTAGTTTACTATCTGTGGACCGTTCGTGCCCTGTTTCACACATCGATCTTTCGCATGTATAGGAACTCATCGTACTCTTTTCGATGGGTTATATGCCTTGATTTCATTGCCACGACATTTCTCGTGGTATTTCTAGTTAGGAAGCGTTCTATAAATGACTTGTATGTTTGCATCGATTTGCCGCCTTCGTTATAATTGCATTACCGTGGTACCTTCTCCATTATACACACTGCCTTTGCTTCACTCCGCGGAAACGTATTCAATTCTGAACGGCCTCAGATCACCCACTCATTTTTACGAAGTTGTTTCTCGGTGAATAACTGCTTTCATCCAGCCACATTTGGTTTCGTTTTCACGGTTCCGCGGTTGAAGCGCAGCTAACCACATTATATTGCCATCTTAAGCGGTATGCATCCGCGTGCCAAGCAGTCTACACAACCACTGTCCATCACTCATGGGTACTGGACAACACGGACTGGGGTTGTGTCGAGCATACTGAAGCGACAAGCACGGATGTTAGCACAACACCGCTGTGACAACTTTTTTGCTTGGTGGTTGATTCTTCCGTTATTGCTTAACTGTTACCAGTTTACTAACCTTTTCTTACTATTCTCTGGTTTGGCTACCGGTCCCGTTTTGTCTTCATAAGCTTTTCTGCACTGTTGATGCTCCGACGTTTCACACTCAGTTCGTTATTTCCTGTCGCGTGTTTCTTCACAAAGGTAAAGATATTTACCACCGACTTCCTTGAAGGCGCTTGCATTTTTCTCGGAAATGTTTTCTTTCGATCATGTTCCTCTCTCTTATGTAAACTTTAGCGCGTACATTGGGAGATTTGTCATTTGCTCCATTTCCTTCTCAGTTGTCCGTATTTCTTTCTTTCTTTCCAAACTGCAGATACATGACAGGGGCCCAGATTATCCAATTCGTGGTAGTCATACTTCATTCTGTGTACACCCTGGTCTTACACGATTGCAACTACCCGAAGTTGTTCAACTATTGGATCCTATCCTACGCATTGATCTTCCTGGTCATGTTCGCAAACTTCTATACCAACGTGAGCTCCAATTCCTCTTGGTCAGTTTCAGTAGTTCAACTTATCAATTAAGGTCCATGCAACGTGATGAGGTGGATCCAGGCGCCATGACCTATGTCACAAAAATGCTAATACTAGTACTAATGATAATAACAATAATTCGGTTGTTGTGTTGCTCCTCGAGTTAGGCACTTCGATTGCAGACGTTTGGTCAACAGGCGAGGTGACCTCATCAGTGCAGGAGGTGTAGCGGCTTGGTGACAAATGCCATCAGAAAGCGAATCCAGGATTTGCCATTTCATGCGGTTGCTCCATGACTGGGAAAACTGTTGACATATCGGTGCAATGCTGTAGCAGTGCATTCCACTTTGAACTCCCACTTGTATATTCACCGATTCCACACAACCGAACTCGTTTTTTTGATTTCATGGTTAGATTCGTAAGTGAGTCGTCAGTCTTTGGCTAGCAACAATGATATGAGCATCGCATCACGTTTTTTCCTCTGAACCCTTCCTGAATTTAGAATCAACTGCTCGTAGGCCACTCTACACATAAGCTGATCCAATAGTCACACTTGCTAACCACATGCCGCTACCCACTCTGTTTGCCAGGCTACATTGGCTGCACGCAGTGTGTCCTGTGCTGCCTAGGTGGTTGCTACCGCTGAGCGACTTGTTGAAGCGCGCATTTGCGTGTCCGCTTAGCCAGGTCATTGAGGTCGGATCAAACTAGCTAGTCTACTGTATCGGTAGCATCACAACCCTACGCATGCGGTTGCGTCAACAGCTCAGATGGGTGCTATTCTATGTCCAGTACTACTTCCCATGAACACGTTTATCCACCTGAATCACCGACTCCCACAACTCTTGATGTCGTTCGACCGTTTGGGCCCACTACTTGACCCCTGGCCTCATTTACCTATCCCCAAAGACCCGGAAGCCAGGTGCTTCAGGCCGATGTCTTGTTTGTGTACCACAGCTGAATTGCAAATATGAAATTAGTTCTGCTCTCACTCTCTCTACCTTTTGCTGCAATGCTTCTCTGACTGTTTGTTTCCCTATCACTTTTCCACTGAAGGCATATCAGAAAGCACCAAAATTGTCTTCCTCCATTCACCTTTCGGTCGGCGGTCCTATCTCCAAACGTGCGTTAGACTAATCTCAGGTCGTGAGCGCAGTGCTCGGATCCTCATCTACGTGGCGCTTCTGAATGTACACAGTCTGCTCCTGGCATCATCTCCAACTACCCGAGCCCTCCTTTCATGCTTATCTACAAGCAATGATTACTTACAATCGGTCGCTCCCTACCCGCTTCCTGTGTCTCCTTTCCTGTCTTATTTCACCCAGTTTAGCCACTTACACCACCATCATTTACAGTGCATACGAATCAACATAGCAACGCTATTCATTTTATGAATTCTACGTTATGAAGCAATTTTGTCTACAGATTTCACAAACGACTAACCTTTGTGATCCGCGGACACGCGTCCTTCCCAACCTTTTCTCTACCTGTGGTATTTTTGTTTAAGATTCGACCCGCGCCTCATTAGGTGAAGTCCACTTTGTATATTGCTCATCTTGAATACATGCGCTTTTACTGCTCTTAATGAAATGTTTCCTTGTCATTTGTAGCTTTGCATTTTATCCTTCACACACAGCGGGCCCGTGATGTCGTTTGGGCGTTGTGCTCGCAACTCCGGTGCCAGTCCCCGCACCTGCGCGAGGTTGGACGCCCACACAATATGCCCGCCTGCGTGTGGCCGCTTACGGCTGCATAGCAGCGTAACATCAGATTGAGACAGTGGTATGGTGCTGGTGCATTTTCCTTAAAAACGCACACATATGCCTCTAACTGTGACCGCAAACGGACGCAGGACACCTGCACCTACAGAGGAACCATGAATGGCTTGCGTTGCACCACACAGCTCCATGCCGGCTCGTAGCAGAAAGGACAGAGCATCTGCCTTGCAGCCCGGTAGTCACGGGTTCGAACCTGCCTAGGGGATCGGGCGACCTTTTCAGTATTCTTAGCCGACACGCGACTGGTAATGCTTACGTGTCAGTGAGGCGTCTATACAGCGCATAGCTGATGCCTTTTTACATAGCTCCATCCGCACACCCGATATCCAGTGCAAACAGGAAAGATTAAGAGTGTGAGGCGTGTAGATGGGATCTACAATCGTTTCTGAGCCGGCCAACACTCCTTCAACATGCACATCATTCGTATGATCAAAGGGAAACATGCCTACCAGACTTACACAGGGAGGTGGCTTGGCCGTATCCCGTTCCACACTGGTTGTATGGAACCACTTCTTAAGCCTAGCGATGTAACGAAGGCCGTGAATTCCTCCCCCAGCAATGATTAGCAGTCTCGTGGAACCAGTGCTCGAGGTAGTGGTTTTCGACAGTTAAACACCCTGTCAACACTCACATCCAAGCTTGGCATATCAATCAGCAAATGCTGTTAAACATACAACAACATAAATTCACAGGTGGACATGCGGAGCAACTGCAGCACGCGTACCACACTCGCACTATTATCGGTCTGGATTAATAAATGAAACCAGAAACAGCCTACTTCTGCTGCGCTGACACTTCACATTAAACTTATTCTTCGTCTCTTCGATATTGGCCCCTCGTGGACACGTCGGTAACTTACCGGATCGTCTCGGCTGAGGCGCACACGACCTCATGTGTTACAACACCACGTACACTAAGTTGAGTTGAACGCTGTCTGCTTAACCGGCGTTTTTCTTCCTGGAGCACCTAGGCAACAGTATCCTTCATGTTCTCACCCCATTGGCGACGATCTGCTGCCATTTTGTCCCAGCTCTTTGGGCAACATTGATTTGTAATAAACTCATCATGCTCATAGTCTGATGATGTATCTCCGGTTTCCTCGCGTTCCGCTTACCTTCATTCAGTTTCGGTCTCAACGTCAACACGCAAATCATTCCGTGTAAACTCTTAATGGTTCAAGCATTGGCTTAGATGCACCTCCCGATTGGACGCCGATTCCGTTTAGGTAAACCGATTTCCATGCTGCCAACGCAGATGTCATTATGAGTTCTTGTTGAATAAAATGCCTACACACCGGTCGATCGCGTCGTTCCTCGCTCGTGCAGTGCTTCACTTTCGGATTATATTTTTGCTCCTTTTTGGCTTCCACTGCTCCTGTTCACTCTTCAGGTGAAAACGTTTATCCCTACGCCAGGCATGCTTTTCGGATGCTTTCACTTTGCGTCTGACTTATTGGCGATGGTTCTCGTAGGTTTCCCGAACTTCGTGCTTCATGTTGCCTGAGATTGGTTGCTCTGTGATCTCCACATTCGTGTTACCAACAATGACGTTTCATTGTCTTTCAGTTATCCCCAATGCGTTCTCTACTGCTGATGTCGACCTTCGGAATGTCGGTAGGTGTACCGGGAGGCACTCCCTAGCGCTTTTTGTCTGGAACCTTCAGTGTAAGCTAGGTACTGGACGAGGTGTGGAGTAGAGTTGCGCTCCACAGGCCACATTTCCTCCCATTCAATGCAATTCTCTGTTACTGGTCACTCCAGTCACAATATACAATTTCGATAAAATGTGATTGCAACCCAATATCTAACCGCCTTGGTTTCGTGTCAGTGTTTTGGGCGCGGCGGACATCGTGGCGATATATCTAAAGTTTACTGATTTGATGAATATCACCTCCGGAAGATTCCCTTCCAGAAAAATTTAACTTCTGATTTTTGTGTAAATGAATTTTACCAATTAACCTTCGCGCAGCTTTCGAGGCACTCTCGTCTTTAGCTTGTCTGGTGGAATTATGAAACTGGAAGTTTCAGCAGATTTAGGTGCATGTTTGGTTTGTTTCTCATGATTTACTTCCCAGGTGGGAAAGGTGTATGTTTGGCGATTATACCAAACCACCAGCGGCCTTTTGTAAACACGCTTGCGGCTGGCTCAAAACATGCTGTAAGGATAAGAAAAAGGTTTAACAGTACCCCGGCACACCGTGCCGATGCTTCGCTGCCACGCGACCGCCAACAGTCGTGCGTTGGCTGAAGACACTGTGAGGTCGCTCGAGAGACGCACAGTTTGACATGCACGAATTATCCCACCAACTATTTTGTGCTCATTTGTACACTGCTTAGCTGTGTCTGATCCTTTGGCTGCTTGTCTCTTTATCTTGCGTATTACCAGAGTCCGGTTGCGTCAAGCTTCTGGGTGCTGCATACTCTAGGGGTTGCCAGCTCATGACATTTTACTCCACAACCGTCCTCACGCCTGTTTGCACTGGTTAGACAGCGACAGCTCGAACCCGTTGCCTAGGGACTTACGTCTCTGCCCCTACGCTCCGGGCAAAGCTTGTGATAACTGGTCATGACTCATTGTGTGTTCATTTAAAGCGCCCGGTCCCAGTGATCAGACTGATCGAAGTTCAGTCCAACCTGAATCGCGACCCACATTGCGATTACGTGTCGCAGTTCACTCACACGACGAGCGCCTCAGATGAACCCGCAATGATCCTGAGGGCCACTTTGATTACGAGCCATATTTGAGCCCAACAACTTCGTTGGACCTTACTTGAAACGTCAAGCACTTGTGTTCCTAATGCCCGGTCTTTTCGTTATCCTACTTATTTCTTTATTTAACTTCGGTCAAGCGACCTTTGGTTTTGATAGTCTTCCCGATATTCGAGTGGTGTTCAAAAAGAAACCAAACCTTTGATATAGCGTGGCAAATGGCAGAGGGAGCGCGCTGCGGCTACTGTGTGCATGTGGAGGCTTGCTTAGACAACAAACTGTCATTTGCCGCATTTCACTCGGACTGTTGCTTGCGGAGCTACAGCCGCTGAAGTACGTTCACAAGCTGTTTGTCAGATTAGTCCCATAGTCAATGAAGCAGTTAGAAGAAGGGTGCGTGTGTGAAATTTTACTACAAACTTGACAAAAATTTTACAGAGACATCACAATTGCCTAGCCAAACATACGAGGAGCAGGGTATGAGTAGCACACAATGCTATAAGTGGTGTGAATGTATTAAACACGGCAGTATGTCTGTCGGTGGATGATCTACCCACTGCTGCTACTGTTATGCCATTGGATCATGTCCTAAACGCCTGGTGGCGACCGCTGAGTTGGAGTTGGGTTACACCCTTCTCCCTGCTAAGATCCAGGACACCAATCCGCATGAGTCAGTGAACTGACCATGTGCTAGACCCGCTGCCTTTCGGGTGTACATGTAGTCGAAAGCATTTGTTGAGGACCGGAGTCGTTCTCCTGTCAGGTGTAGGCGTCATGCCAGTATCCTAGTCCATCCTCTTCGGAGGTTAGGAAGTGGTCGATGGCGCTCTTCCCGTAAAACCTAGCCATGGGAGACAACAGGTCTACAGGTTATTAGCTCACAGCTCGATTGGCGTAGAGCATGAGCGCCACGCATTGTCTCTGACGGTGGGAGGCAATAGTTGTACGCCTGTGGGATGTGGAATGCATAGCCACAGTGGGCGACCTGTGGCACCACATTCACGACCAGGTGACAGCTGCTGCCGAGGAGACCATCGGGCGCGCAAACTGTAAGCGGCTTGATTGGTTTGATGAGAACAATGCGACGATTCGCTCATTGGTGTGTGAGAAGAATGCAGCATTTGCTGCACACGTGGCAGACCCAAGTGACTTGGGAAAGAAGAGTCAGCTTCGCAAACTTCACTAAAAATGCATGGTGGACGGAGAGAGCGAAGCAGATGGAATGCTACGCCGAACGCCGCCAACAAGGAATTCTTTGACTCCTTGAAGACGGTGTATGGACCGAGATTGGAGCCGTTGAGGACACTGATGGATGGTAGTTCAGGCGCTACCTGCACCGACTGCAGACATAATGCAGGTCTGGCGGAAGCACTTTGACTGTCTCTTGAACAATCGTTCAGAAATCGACTGACCTACATTTAACGGCCAGTACGATGTGAAGGCGAGTCTGGCGGACACTGAACGAGACCCAGACAGCACTTGCTCAGCAGCGAAACGGCAAGTGTGCTAGGGCTGACGGGATTCCACGTGAAGTACTGAAACACCGCTGACCCGCGTTGTTGACTGCGCTGCACCACTTGGTGCAATGCGTATGGATTGAGGAGGAGGTACCTGCTGAGCTGATGGATGCCCTTGTGCTGTCACTATACAAGTGCAAAAGGAGCAAGCAATATTGCACGAATTATCGTGGCATCAACTTGCTGAGTTGTGTTGTCAAGGTGGTTGCCCGAATCCTACTCAACCGCCTCGTCAGTCAGGTTGCGGAACCTAACGTGGCGGAAGAGCAGTGTGGATTCCGTTCGGGTCGCAGCACTATAGATATGGTGTTTGCGACTCGTCAGTTTCAGGAGAAGTGCAGAGAACGATACCAGCCGTTGTACTCGCTTTTTATTGACTTCACCAAGGCGTTTGATACGGTGAACCGCGAGGCATTGTGGCTGGTGTTAGGTATGTTTGGTTGTCCGAGTAAGTTCGTAAGCTTAATTGAATGTCTGCACAGTGGTATGCGGGCGAGGGTGCAGCTGAGTGGAGAGACCTCGGCTGACTTTGCAGTTGTCTATGGTGTGAAGCAAGATTGTGTGTTAGCTCTCTTCCTGTTTAATATTTATCTTCATGCC